ATTCCCACCTAAATTGAATCCCAGGTTGCAACAATGATGGCTAATGATTTGGATGACATTTGTGTTCACTCTGCAAGCATCAAATGCTCAAGTGAATGCAAGGTCATTCAAATTTTTAGAGATCCTGAATCTGTGAAAAAATTGCCACCATGTTAATGTTTTCCCTCATCAACCTGACTTAATCGTATCTTAATGCTGCACTAACAACTTATACAAACTATTTTTTTCCCTGCATGTGTTACGATATTGTATCAACAGGGAATAAAGCTCTCCTAAAGTAAGATGCATTCCATTCCAGTTACATAGAAGTAACACTATGTGATATAATTTAATTCAGCAGACTTTGTTGATTATATTTTGCAGTAAAGATATGTATGCAAATTACATAAATGTTGTGTTGTTAAAATAACATGAAAATGCCTTTTTTCTCATTTTATACTCTTTATTCACATTATAAGACAAGGAAGAATATATGTATCCAAATTAATCTGTCTGAAGAAAAAGGTAAATAGTACATTAAGGTAGACTACTGATGCTAAAAGGTATAATGTGCAGAACTGACACATCGCTGAAAGGGAAAAAAAATGCTCTGAAACTTAAGGGGATTAAGGAAGAAAAAGGCCTGGGGACTCAAGTGGTAAAAGGAAAAAAGAAAAAAAAAAGAACGTTTGGGATTTTATTTTTATTTGACATTGCCAAGTTTCTTATAGCTGTGTTTAAAAGTTACATTCTTAAGAATAGACCTTCATATTTCTCTACATAGAAAGGTATTTGCAAGTCATTCAGTTCAAGTGAAAAGATTAGCCTACATACTGTCTCAGTCGCTGTATGCCAAGTTTACACAAAAGCTAAGCATCTGCAATCCATTTCTTGAAATTTTATGTGTAATATAATACTTCCATATGTAAGGTGTTTCTGGGCTTGGTAATACCAACAAGAACATTTAAATATATTTTCAATAAATATTTCACTTACAGTTATCTTCAAAACTATGCTGATGGGGCTAAATCAGCTTTATTAAAGATTAAGCAGTTATGTTTTGTAGGTAACTGTACTAAAGGTTTCAGATTAGCGCAGTTCCTCCCAGGAGACAAGACATAAAACTACATGTACATACCTGTGAATTGTAACTCTTCTGATTTGACATCAAAAGAAAACCGCCATCATCAAGAATTACACAGTCCAGATGCTATAAAATAAGTCAGAACAAAGAGGTCAGTTTGAACACAGTGTCTGATCTTACATGTTCACATAACCTGTGTTCTGTTGATTGTAATACTTCTGTAAATACATCTGGTGTCTGAGGAATTACAAAATATTTCCAAATCATGACTGTAAATTTATAACTACTATCCCCCTTCACACCCTCCATACTGTACAATTTCTCATGCAATGTTTCTATGCCCAGAGACATCAATTAATATCTTTCTTTAAAGCAAACCTTGACACCCATGATGTGGATAAAGTACATAATTAAGGTTTTGCTGTAACTGGATAAAAAAAAAAACCTCAAATTCTGGGTGCTTTTCCTTATTGCTGCTGCTGTGAGTGCAAATATGGCTACCAATAAGTTGACACATTAGTGAAAAGAATTTCCATTGTGAATTTCTTTCAACTCCCAATAACATTTTGATAACACAGATAAGGTTTTTGGAACACTGTTTTGCTTGTTCACGATCTTCTTATGATAACCATGAATGATTATCATGGTGATCACATGACTGAGAACCACATTGACTAATTTCCTATCATTAGTGTAAGGCAAGTGATGTCAGTCATAGTGAGAGGACTAGCATCATGCAAAAGTGCATTCTGCTAGTTCTAAAATTAAGGTAGATTAATGTAGACACAGGACGCCATGCCTGAGAGCATTAATCTACAGATTGCGCCCGAAAGTGGTGAATGCTCAAAAAACAGGAAAACATTTGGGTACAAAATCCAATAAAACTATTTTGAACAGCAAGCTAGTAAACATTAAAATAATAACCCAAGTGTATACCTCCTGAGAATAGATTTTTTTTTCCCTTTAAAGAGGTTGTGTGTTATATTTGTATCACTATATTTATCAATCTCCTTTAAG